TGACATCTGATTGCTGGGTGACCTGGCGACCCACAGGATGAACACTTGTGAGCCCGCTTCACCGCGTTCATGCACTCCGCTCCTGGTGGCAATGATCCACACGGACTGTTCCCGTTGTTCCACGAGAAGCAAATGGGTTCCCCTTGCTTTCCTCCCTTTCCTTTCTTGCTTCCTCCTTTTCCTCCTCCCTTTCTCTCCCAACTTGATTCGCTTCGGGCTTCTCGAAGTCTTTGGAGCTCTTCTCTTTCCGCCTGCCATTTCCTCTTCTTCGCCTCCCGTCTGTCTCTGTTTCCTTGCCTTCTCGCCGTGGGTGTAGCCGCCGGTGAAGTTGAGCCGAACGTCCCAGACTCCATCGCTGGCATCAATGAGCTCGTACCTCCACGTAGTGCGTTCTCGGCGATCGATTCCTGAGGGGTCATTGCTCTTCCTTTCGCTCCGCTCGCAAGCCACGTGAGGGCCGGACTGTGTATCTGGTCCTGCCAAAATTTCATTTCGTTCGGCACCATGCGAATCAGGGCTCCCATGGTTTCTTCTCGTCGAAGTTCAAAGGGACCGGTTTTCCTTCTTGCTGATCCATCGCCACCTTCAACTTCAGCCTCGATAGCAGCTCCCCTCTCGCCATCTCGTCCGCCGCGTACACCAAATGCCAGGCGTCCGGATATAGCCGAGTCAGCTTCTCCACGTACAGCTCGTAGGCATGGAGAGGGGCCAAGGCGCATTCCTGCAGCATGATCATCGCCGTCGTGAACACCCTGAAGCATGCCCTCCATTGAGTGAAGTTGGCTGGACCCGGAAGTTCCTTCGACACGTAGCCCTCGGCCGTCGGTACCCAGGTCCTGTACCTCGAAGCCCTCAATGCCTTCCTTCCGAATGGCACGAACACGCCAAAGTCCGCGAAAGGAGGTTTTCCCATCGACAGCTTCTTCTTCACGGCCGAGAGCTGTTCTATCGTAGGCTCTTCCTCCTCCTCGGGCAGGGATCCCGTCGTCGCGATGTACTTCTGGAGCAACGTCATCTTCGCTTCTTCTCCCAAGACTTCGAACTCGCCGTCGTCTCCTTGGTCCAACACTTGAGCGAATTTCAAAGTCCTGTCCTTCGTGGCCTTCGCATCCGGGTCGACTGAAGTGGGTCTCATTGGGCTCGAAGAGGATGAGTCGTTCAAACCTGAGGTACTCCATGGATCTTCTTCCACCCAATTGTCCCAAGCGCCTCCACCCTTCGTGTACATGATCTTCCTCGCCAATTTCCACACTAACCCCACATGGGCGGCCTGCACGGCAGTCAAGGGGACATCCGAAGGGAGCATGGCCTGCGACAGAGCAGCAGCAACCACACTGCCCGGAAGGGCAGCGAGCAATCGCAAGTCGTTGCCAGGGGAGCCGGTCTCCTGAGTGAAAGCTGCCCAAAGCTCCGAAGTCACTCCAAAGTGCTGGAGCAGGTCGTCGACCGACTGCATCCCCAACGCCGTGGCTGCCGTAGGAAACATGGCAGCAAACCCAAAAGCAGCCCGCGAGGAAAATCCCCATCCTACAAAGCCATTTGACCTTGCAGGGATAGGGACTTGAGCCAAAATGGCATCAAGCCACTGTCCCCACCCAGGCCCTACTCAGGGTTGTCACCCAGAAAATTCCATTCTTCCATTTTCTTCTCATTAATCATTCCCGGTTCTCGGCAATGTTCAATAGGAGAAACTTGGGAAACAAGACACAACATAAAATAGCACAAAATAGGGGTGGCCTGAAAGCACAGTAGGAGATGACACAAGGCAACGATGACGATGAAGATGATGATGACGATGATGACGACGGCCATTCATGGTGATCGTATTGGTGATGACCACCATGGTGCAAATTTGTTAACGTCAAGATAAGTAAATGCGATAATCTCAAGATATACCTGCGGGACCTGTGGAGGGTTCATGACCAACACGCTTGCACGGACACTGTTGTGGGACAGTGTTGTGGGACACTCTTGCTGGATCTTGCGGGACACCCTGGTGAGATAAGGTTGTGCATCTCAGCTGTATTGTACGCACATGCCGAACAACCGCGCTCGCACCGCGCCACTATGTTTTCCCTCCGTTCGCTCAGATCTCTCTGGTGGCAGTTTGTGACACCCACAGGATTTGCATGGGACTGCTTCACAACACTACCTGCCATAAAATGCAGTCACCCTGCATCTCGGGTCGTCCCTCTCTTGCTTGACATTCGTAAAACAGCTGTGAAGACACTCTTGTCGTGGGACCCTGTAGGCCGCTTTCTGCTAACCACCATTTTTCCTGCTCACCAGCGACACACCGCATTTACGCACGCGCGCTTTTTGTTTCCGCTGGCGCAAAGCCAGGCAAACACACTTTCCAGGGCTGCGAAAAAACGTATGGAACAGCGACATCAAAGACATAGTTTCGCCCAGCGTGCCACAGACTAGACGCAACAATGTAATACCAAGCCTCCTTGACACCACCAATCACCCCGCGCCCCAGCGACACGCCGCGTTTACGCACGCGTGTTTTTTGACTCTTTTCGTTTCCCAACGGCCACGACAACACTCTTTCCACCGAGGCCGCTCAAAACCGCAGCACAGCGACATCACAGACGGAATCTCGCCGCACGATGCACTTAAACGCGGGGCGTCGCGGTGATGTCGCTGCGTCATGACGCGCCATGCGGTTGTGCACGGCCTCGGTGGTAAGTGTGATTGCGTGGCGCCGTGCCAGTGGGAAACGAATAGCGTGTCATTGGGGGCGCAATGATTGGCGGTGCCAAGGAGGCGTGGCGTCGCGTGGTTTTGCGTAGTCTGTGACGCGCAGGCCTGTCGTTTCCCAATGGCATGGAGCCACGAACCACACTTTCCACCAAGGCTTGCACCACATCACAGACGTAGTTTGGCTGCACGGTGTGCCACAGACTCGACACAACAACGCAACACCAAGCTCGCAGAAGGCGCTTCCCGCGTTACATTGGCACTACAAAAGTTGCCACTTGTGAGGCCACCGCTCCCCCACACGACATTTGCCTAACAATGCTGCAAGTTCTGAGGCCACAGCTTCCAGAAGCTGCTGCAAACTACTTGACTACAAAGCTGCCACTTCAAAGGCAGCCGCTAGAAGCTGCTTCAAGCACATGTCTACTCATGTCTACTACAAAGTTGCCAGTCCTGGGGCCACCTCCCAGAAGCTGTTTCCCGCGACATTTGCGCTACAAAGTTGCCAGCTCTGAGGCCAGCTCCCAGAAGCCTGCCACTTCTGCTGCCACACCTCCGCGTTAAATCTGCACCGCAAAGTTGCCAGTTCTAAGATGCTCCCCGCACTACATTCGCACTACAAAGTTGCCAGTTCTCAGGCCACACCCAGAAGCTGCTTCGCACTACAATGGTACTACAAAGTTGCCAGTTCTGAGGCCACAGCTCTCACTACCTCTGCACTAAGAAGTCACAGAGTCGCCAGTTCTGAGGCCAAGGCCGGCGCCAGATACACACTTTCAACATCCAGGGTCCACCTTCTTTGCCATTGACAATTACACCCTTTGGCACCACCCATCTTGATTGTCCACGAAAGTTACACACTTTAGCACCGTCCTCCTTCTTTTCTGGCGACGGTTACACACTTTGACAACACCCACCTGGATTGTTCACGACAGTTACGCACTTTGACAACTTCCACCTTGACTTTCGACGACCATCGCAGGGCGAACACATCCAACTAATGCGCAGTTTCCAACGGCAGATGCACTCTTTGGTAACTTCCAACGCGTTTTTCGAAGACTGGCACACACTTAGACAACTTGACAGGCACAATCTCGACAAAAGGCCCACCGCGGCCAAACAAAATTTGCATTTCACCTCGCACCTTGAGCACTCGACACGCACGATCTCCACAAAAGGTTCGCCACACACAGGCAAAATTCGCATTTCACCCCACATGAGCACTCCTCAGATCTCCGCTAAGGGTTCACCAAAGCCAAAGACGATTCGCATTACCGCCGCCTCGCACGCCCGACACGCAAGAGAAGATTCGAAGTTGTAGTTGCGTAGGTGAGGTTTGTATTGTAGGCACCTGTATCCCCACACCTGTGTCTCAAGACCTGTATCTCAACACCTGCACCTCGATACCTGTATCCAAACACCTGTGACTGTGTAGGTCTGTTATGGCAGTTGCATCGCCTACATCTATGCACCTGTGGCGATGATGATGGTGATGATGATGATGATGCTGGTGGTGGTGGTGGTGATGTAGATGTGTTGTGGCAATCACATCAACCACCTGCATCTTAATCTCTTTCTAGAATTTCTAGAGTTGCACCACCTGCATCTCTATACCTTGATGCTGGAGGATGAGGAAGAAGAAGAGGAAGGGAAAGAGGAAGAAGAAGAAGAAGACGACGATGATGATGATGATGAACATGAAGACGATGATGATGGCGATGATCATGATGATAATGACGATGCTGATGATGATGGTTGGACAGTTGAAGTTGGCAGCCGTTCTTTGCGGAGAGCCCTTCGCAGCTCCTTTCCGGAAAGGTAACACAAAATTATATATATATATATATGTATGTGGCTATATGTGTATATATATATATATTATATATGTATATCACTAATGTCCAGGCTTTCAGGGAGGGCTTTCAAGGTAGGGAAGCTCTGGAAAGCTACTGAGTGGCGGCGGCATCAAAAACACAACGCTTCAACGTAAAACTTGGCTATATACTCGAAAAGAGTCAAAATCTTCTACAGGAAAACATGTCGCGACTTGCCTCGCCATGCTTTGCAAAGCTTGGCCAACCGAAAACCACGGCAATTTATATATACACAACAACCAGTCTGAATCGAATGTGTCTTATGACTGCGCACCATCGGCACTGATGCTGTCAAGAAGCAGATTTTTTCCATTTACACCGCTCTGGAAAAACCAACCACCAGCGGTATCCCATGGACCCACCTAATTTAGTATGTGTCCCCAATCCGGCCGTGCATTTCAATGGGGAATCTCAGCGCTAGACCCAGCACCCTGAATCTCTGCAATGCAGCCAGGAGAGCCTGCACAAAGCAAAAAAGAAAAGTCAGCAGCACGGGTTCAGAAAGATACAGTGCAGCGGGAAATGTGTCTGAATTTGGTGACGCGGGTTTACGGGTTTACGCGGGTTTACGCGGGTTTACGCAGGTTTACGGGTTTACGCGGGTTTACGTGGGTTTACAGGTTTGCTGGCTTAGAGATGTTTACGATTTGCAGTGTGTAGTCGTTCTATCATTCTTCAAAAGGCACCAATCACCGGCTGGATTTATATGCAAACATGTGCGCTGATGGCTTGCACTGAGCACCACTTGGTTTGGCACCATGGTGATGCTGAAAATGCGGGTGTCCTTTTTGAACACTTTTCAGGACAAAAATATGTGTATGTTTTGTCCTGAAAATTGTTCAAAAAGGACACCTTTGGGATGTTTGTGATGTCGGCTTTGTCCTTTGCATGTCTAGCATCCCTTGAACACATTCTTCCAGAAACAGCCTTGAAAAAGGTTGTGCTTGACATGAACCTCTGTGAATCTCGTCAAGACTAGGTGGTAAAACCCTATGCGGTCGTAATGTAGACGCTCCCAAGTGACCTACCTCTCAAGTGATCTACTGCTCTCAAGTAAACCGGTGTAAATCGGTGTGAATTGGTAAACCGGTGTAAATTGGTAAACCGGTGTAAACCGGTGTAAATCGGTAAACCGGTGTAAACCGGTGTGAAGCGGTAAACTGGTGTAAACCGGTGTAAATCGGTAAACCGGTGTCGTCAAATACCAGACGCGCGTGATGTCGCAATGGAAACATATCGTTAGCCTGTATGATGAGGCCGGATTTAAGGGCTGCCGCGTAGCACCGCTTTCTTAGCTGAAGGTCTTAAGAGTCTTAAGTCATTCATGAACCCAAAATCACAGGATGCAAGTGCTTTTATGGGCGACACTGCGGAGATGGCTTGAATGTTACGAAACCCTGGAAATTACCACTCCAAAGTGCACACAATGTCTGGACCCCAAAGTGTGCCATTTTTGCAACAAGAAAATGTAGAAGAAGAAGAAGAAGATAAAGAACAACATTGATTGGTATTGGTTGCGAATCTTGACAAGGTGGACTCTGGCTGCTCTTTGTACAAATTGTTGTTGGCAAACCGACTGCTCTCGAAGGTCATGTCTTTGATGCCAGCTGCAACACCAGAACCACATTGCAAGGAAGCTGGCACTGAAAAGAGACAAACCAAGTGTTTTGGCTTGCTACAGGGGTCAACCGTTCGCTTGCGACAACACTGAGCACAACATTTTAGATCACTGACAACAGCATCACCAGCATCCTGGGTGGGGTGGGGTGGGGTGGGATCTACAGGGGTAGCATGCTTCCTTGCAAGCCACACGCAAGCAAAAAGCATGTACTGTATTTGAGCATTCAGGCTCTCCGCGGGCATGCCATCCGCATTCTCTCTTGCCAGATTGTACATTCAGGGCTGAAGGGTGTGGTTTGATGCAAGTTTCGGGAAGCCTGTCTCGAGCTTCTTGATGCCCATGCTTCCAAAATTTGGTAAATTAATGCTTCCTAGAGAGAGGGGCCCTCCTTTTACCAGAGTAGTACTTGTGACAAAACATGTCACGAGAGCCAAGGAATCACATGGAGTCGTCTTCTGCTCTTTTGGGTTGTGCTGCCATCTCCAACAAGCCAGCTGGATTAAAGGAATGCTTTAGCTGTGATATCATAAATGGTGAATCCCATAATTCAGGAATGGGCAGCACTTTCCAGCTACAAAGTTGCTTTGCAGGCGATTTTTGCGGCTTGCACTCAAGAAATGTCTACATCGTGAAGTCAGCCGCCGAGGTTAATGGGCCGGAACCATCCAAAAGTGACAGTCAGGCACAACCCTTTATTTGAGATCGATTTCTTGTCCGCCTGGAGCAATGAGTTCACTTGCCCTGCCTGCGCGCAGTTTGATCCGCATGTTTGAAAGCAGGCCCTGCGCAAGGCTGTTTGGCTCAAAATGTGGCCAGTGCAGCTTCTCAAACACATTTCGTCACTTGTTGCTCGTTGACCTTGTGGCATCCCATCTCCATGAGGCCATGCAAGATTTCGTTCTTTACAGAATTGCTGTCCGCCTCCCGGGCATTTTTCCAAAACGGACTGGGCGTCTGGGTCCGGTGCACGTGCACCTTTCGGAAGTCCAGGTGGAAGAAGTGTAGTTCAAGACTGTCCTAGTGTGCAGTACGGACCAGCATTGCATAGACATGAGAATCATTGAAAAAGATACTGTTGCCAACTTGGCTTTGCCTCCACCTCTGGCACCACAATGGCAGGCCTGTCGAGGGTGAATGATCAGCTTCGGTGCTCACAAGGGAATGTCGGCGCCTGGAGTCCGCCAAGGGCACTTTCAGGTCATATCTTTCATCCTGCCGGCACGAACCAATAAAGTTTATTCAAGATTGTCGTATGTCTCCACGCTGGACAAACATCTTTTGTCCACAAGGAGCGTACAGCCCCTTTCGGGCTTGAGACGCACAAAGCATTTCGGGCTGATGACTTTGCCAGCGCATTGAGAATGCCTTCCCAGACATTTGCTGTGGGGCAGTGTGACTACGCACAGTTTGAAAGGACCTTCCTGAAAGAAGAGAGCGCAGAAAGTTAAGAAAGCAGGAAGGAAATAATATATATATGTCTTTTCATGACTAAAACACACATGTGTATGTGTATATATATATAATATGTGTGTGTGTGTAGCCTCACGTCTAAAGCGGCAAGAGAACAGGAAACTATCCAGAATACGTGAACCCTGCAGAACTACAACGTCTAGCGGCTAGCTTGCTACATAAGCTCCTCAGGTTGAGCCATAGACACGCACCCAAGAAACTTCCATGACCTGACCAGCTTCGAAGGCTGCATCATCGATACCCTGCAAACGGTCGGGGAGAACTACCTCCAAACTCCAAATCCTCAAGAATTTTTAACCATGCCAAAAGCCACATCCAACACGAGTGCACAGCAAACAACACAAAGAAATCGAAAACACAAGAAGAAACATTAATATTACATCCGGGCAACCTTTTGTCCACCCCAGTCTCCGCCAACTGCTAAGTTCCTTGGCAATGTCACATTACATACACAAGGTGCACCATAGCGTGCTAATGCGGCACCGAGCTGCAGTAGAATGAAGAAGGGCTTATTAAATGGCCACGCTTCCTCACTTGCCCAATTTTCCTGGCAGGAAACCATCATGTCAGTCGATAAATGCTGGGCGCAAAGCATTCGAAACCCATCCGCCTTGGTGACTGTCAAGTAGCGATGTCCGTCATGGAAAAAACTGAGCCGGTTATAGGACCATGCCACGCCATAAGTATGCCATTCTTCGATTGCCACAGGCAGAATTTGTCCAACCTGAGTGCCCTTTTTGTGATTGCACATTTCAGTGTGAATAGTACCGTGGATGCGGCCCGCATCATGGCCAACATGTTCCATGATGTCAATCTCACCACACATTGGCCAGTCCCCAAACCTGTTGTGCGTTGGCAGCATCCAGGCAGCTGCCCAAGTACCACGACCTGAGGGTAGCCGCAACCGGACCTCAATGCGGCCATAGAGCCAGTCTGCCTTTCCCTTGGTTGTCAACCGTGCAGAGGTGTAGTGCCTCTGCCCATGTGTTTCCCTCTTGGCTTGGATGTGTAGCAGGCCGTCGGACACCCAAACATTGGTTGGCGCATCTGTATAGGATTGGAGCTCACCATTTCCCCAACCATGGTCACCTAGTTCACACGACCACTTCGATGGATTCGGAGGACCTGCGAAAAGCCATGGCGCTTGTTGAAAGCATACGAGCTTGGGTGAAAGATTCATGCACCACACTGCAGATGTGCTCCTGTGTAGTCGAATTCGTCAGACCAAACCAAAGAGCCCCCCTCGGCTTCTGGGAACTCCTCCCACATCTTCACCTCACAGCAAGCAAGCAACCTTTTCTACCCAAATTGCAGCAGCCACCGGCCACATACATTTTACAATTTTACAGCACTCACAATCTCGGAGAACAGAAGGCAGTTTCGCGACATTTGTTTCACTACGGGGGAGAAAGACAAGCGACTAGGTTTCACATACGGGTGTTCACTAACACGGCATTGTGGAAACGACGCATTCCTGGTAAATATAGGATGCTGAGATTTTGAGCGTCGGCAGCCAGCAAGCCTAACAAAGGAATTCTACCAGCGTAGACCCCAAACAGCTTAGTCGGCAACAATTATTGTCGTCGTGGGCGGACGCAGCCCCAAGCCCCTTCCTCGGAAAGCAACGCAAACAAACAGCACGACAGCAGCAGGACAACAGAAAGACCAAAGGAGGACATTAGGCATGAGGAGGACAACGACAAAGGACAAAAGGATGAGGGGAAGGAAAACAACACGAACACACCAAGAGGACAAAAGAAGGATAAACTGTGACCGGACTACGCCAAAAGGACAACAGGAGCAAGCCAAGAGGAGAACAAAAGGAGAAGAGGAAGAGAAGACAAGAGAAAGACAAGACGATGATGGGAGGAGTATGAGGCTGCCACGTGGCCATACAGCGGTACTGCGGTCTTCGCGCTTGCCGGCTCTTTCCCACTAGGCACGCAATTGCTTTCTCGCATTGGACGCTTTGGTTGCGCTTGGCGGTGTCATGTCTTCTTGCTGCCATGCTGCCTTCTGGGCGCCAGCAGCAGGCCAACAAGGGGACAACAGGAGGACGAGAAAAGGACAACAAGAGAAGAAACGGATGACAACAGGAGGACAAGGTCTGGAGCAGCGGCCAGAGGACAACAGCAGGACAACTGCAAGCGCCAGGAGGACAAGAGGAGGACACAGGGCTGGAATAGTGTGGAACCGAGAAGGTTAGGGCAGGCCCAAGAGCTAACATGTATCCATGTTTGGCTAGGTTGGTTGAAAACACTGGCGTTTTTCTTTCATTATTTCCCTATAAACTCAGGCCACTAACACGAACCTCATCCGTTTAGGCCAAACACTCGCACTAACATTAACATTTATAAATGATTTGCGTGTTCGGGAAGTGCTATTCTTCTAGGGTGTAGTTCAACATGCCTGCGTGCTTACGCTTTCTCCAACAAAAATTGATGCTATCTTGCTACCGGTCAAGACTGTTTACCACATATTGTGCTGCATTCGCAGGTCTTCACGAGTCGATCAGATTGCCCCAATCACTATTGCCCCATGTTCCATAGCTTTCACTCCGCTCTATATACTTTGCCGCTGAGGCTGGCTCTTGAATGACCATCCAGGCGTTGAGCACTATCTACTGTGATGTGTTCATTTCTTACTGCTGCTCCTTCCACCTCCATCAGCGTGAGATCCTAGCTGCCCCTGAACATGCCAGCAAGGTCAGCAAGCTGCCCCACTATGACATGACCCGAGATGGAGTCAAAGCTTTATCAGCAGCACAATCAATGCACAGTGCCACTCTACGGTGGCAAATTCACACCAAGTCGCTGCTGTAATTCCGGCCTTTTCACCAAAGTTTGCGCAAAACTCCCGCATGACCCTCTGCCTGACATCACAAATACGTGCTTGTCCAAAGGAACACGGCAGCAAGGCCGCAAGGAGCCTGGCTTCCTCGGAGCTCAAGCCCATGTTCTTCACGCACCACGCCACTCGATCACCTGCTGGAACACCATCACATAGCACTTCTGGACTCCATTTGCTCCTGAATTCTCAAAGTCTCTGCCAAACATGTGATTTTTTCGTGTAACTTGAGATGGTCCACACCAAGGCCCTCACTGGCAAGAAAACAAAGATGCAAATTCTTGCATAACCTCAGCGAACATCGTCCAAACTTTTTCCAAACGTTTGCTGAGCTCACTCAGCTCGTGGCCCAAAGTTTGGCAGCATCTTCGGACATGCCCATCTCCGAGCGCTGCTGGGCCAAAACAATTGAGAGAACACCATCACCTAGAGTGACACCGCAAACATCAGGAAACCAACATCCTCCTGGGTGTTTGTCACTAGGGTGTCGTCACAAAACACAGCACAAAAAAACTATGACTAGCACATACTTGCACTTCGCACAAAAAGTCCAGTCACGGCATAGCGCAATCGCATTCACTCGAGTATGAGCACAATGCCAACGGCACACGCTACACAACAGAAAGTGCTACGCACTACATAAGGACATTTAATTGTTTCTAGGTTGGAGGCGATCGCTCTCAAGTTGGAGGCCACCGCTCTTAGGTTGGAGGCCATCGCTGTTAGGTTGAAGGCCATGGGCAGTCACTGTTAAGCAAGAAAGGACATCTAATTGCAAACAATTGACGCAACTAGGGGCTCCTGTCCTTACTAGCAGGAGCAACCTCACTAAGCCATTCGTGCACTCATGGCCGCCAAGCCGCCGGACCAAGCCATCGGACCACGCATCTGATCATCGGATCATCTGACCATCGAATCTCATACCATGCATTGGACCACCGGATCATTGCATCATCGAACCATCGGATCATGGCATCAGATCCGGCATTGTTATCGTGCTTCGGGAGATGTACCGGTCAGAGTCGCTTTCTCAAAAATACTTTGCAGGAGCAAATCTGAAGGCGGCTTTGCCTGAAACCGTCTACATCATACAAGATGATGCCTGTCACTTCACAAATATAGGCAGGCTCACGCAGCAACCTTTTTGTGAGTTGTGAGTGGTTTCGCTTGAAAGCTTAGCGCATGGTTTTCCAAGTCCCAAGACCCGCTGATTTTTGGTAAACTTGCACCATGCATGGACCATGCACGCAGTGTCTGGATGAGCCCCTGCTCCAGGATTCCGCTGGCGCTGTAGCGCTCTCTCCACCTGCAATGCGATATGCGCGTGACGATTTTCATTCGCAGGGCTACGCAGGGCCGGGATGCGTGGTGCCGAAAAACATGTGACACACTGTTGCAAGAGCACAAGGACAAGCTGCAGAACATTCGCACTTCAGTTTCACGCCATCACTCGAAAGCACATGGCCCAACATGGATTTAGTTTCTTTTTGCTTGAGATGGCTCGGCCTCACAGAGAACAGATTCAAAGCCCAGAAAACAAGGCCACAGACCATGGTTCACCCGAATGAATCGTCACATCACCTGTCGGATCATCGGGTCATCGGATCTGGCAACCCCACGGCGATAAGTCCATTCGTGCAGCGCCCGCACGGCGCCCCAGGCCGAAGGACAAGAATCGCCACAAGAAAGGTGATTAGCAGCGTTCTTGTTCCTAATAGCTTCTTGTTACTACTAGTAAGGCACTTGTTACTAGTAGCGATGCACTTGTTACTAGTAGCTTCGATGCATGCTTCTCTCAACTGATGCAAATTAGAGCCTACAAACAAACATAACAAACAGCTTGAGGGTAGCCCCATCTCAGAGCCGGAGAATGCAAACAAATCTCACTTGCAGCA